ACCTCCTCTCAGGCTCACTTATCTTCCAAAAAAACATTGTCAAACGTAGTTTATGTACTGTATCAGCTTAAATGCATGAGCAGCATCCACTGCTACTACTGTGTACACACACACACACACACACCACACACACACACACACACACACACCTGCTGCAGCTGCAGTGTCACGCGGAGCAGCTTCAGCTGCAGGTTTACGAAAACACTGAAAGAGTGTCTTAGTCTTAGCCTAGTGCCCCCGGCTTCCTTGTGTCAGTCTCCTCGGTTGGCCTGTTTCCCTCAACCCCGTTTCCCCTTCAATAAAACCTGTTCACCCTGAGTGTTGCGTTTGGGTCCACTCTGTCCCACACCACAACAAAAACCTCTTAAAACCAGGTTTTATTTAGGCCTAGGCTACATTCAGTGCTGTGAATGAACACAGAACTCTATTGTAGAGATAAAAGCGCAACTAAATGTATTAATGGCAAATTAAATAAAGTAGATACCCACTAACTTGTGGTAAAATGAAATATGTGGAGTTGACACTGCAGCTCTGTGCACGAAGTCCACGATGATGCTGATGTGCTGCCACCTGCTGGTTGCTTCTACTCACTGCAGACAGACTGCAAGGTGCAGGGGGGGTTATAACTGAATTAAAATGAAGGGGAAAAAGCCAGGAGAAACATATTTGACAGCAGAATACCTGAGAGCTTTACAGCACTATATTACACTATATTTATTTTTTGAATTGTAACCTGAATTTTGTCCTTTTATATAAATAAAGACATTTCCTCAATGAATTGGTGCAGAAAAATTCACCAGAATGCAAGAAGTGAAGTGTTTAAAGCCCAAATTTGTCTGGGGGAGGACCCCCACTCTCCAATCTTTTTAATTATCTGTAGCAATTATAAAAATCATAATAAATGTATTTAAGGGCCTATGATATTTAATAATTAATATTAAGTGTTTAATGTTTAAAATCTTCTGGGGGAGTACCCCCAAGCCCCCCTATCAACTATTTCGTCAGTACATTTTTTCCCCAAATACTAAGCCTATTAAAATATATTGTTGTCTTGTTGTCATGGCCCCACCATTTGTGCAGTGTCAAGTCTCACGGGCTAAGAGGTTTGTCAAACCCCTAATCTAAGCCCTTACAAGCAAGGACAGTGTATTGGTGAGGGATGTCCGACCGATTTTGGTGGGCGGTCTGGGCCAGATTTGTTGTCCCAGTCCAGCCCTGCTGGATGGATTCTGATATATTAACAGTGTCCTGTTGTTGAAAAGAGAATCACTTTCTTTTGATAGACATTAGCCTGTTTCTTTCACATCAGTTAGGTTACTATTTGTTTTAGCGATGTCCAACAGTGAGTCCATAAACAGAATGTTGCAGATGCAACTAATCTTTCACTCAGCAGCTACCAGCTGTTATTTAATCAATTATGAGATGCAAAGAGAGAGAGAGAGAGAATATGTGTGGATAAAACAGTCCTGTTGGGTTTTACAGAGGACTCACAGTTTCCTCGTTAGCCATTTGTTTTCCCCTGTCCTTGACCTTAAAACCCTGTGTCCTGAGGTGTGTATGTATCACTGCTACCTGTCCATAGACAAATTGAAAGTAGTCAAAATTGTCACACAGAGACGAGCATCCTGCAGTATTTTAAGAGGAAGAAGACAGAGGTCACAAGAGTAGTAGTAGAAAAAACTAGGGAGGATGAGCTTGTAAGTTGTATGGATATCTACTAGACATACTGTATAATCTAATAGGTGTAACATTATAACTGAATACATTTGTACTGTGGCAGCTACATTAACTAGCAGCTGTTCCATGGTTTTTATGGCATGTAGTCGGTTTTGGTTTTCATAATCTCTCCTCTCCCGTCTATTCTCCATCTTCTGTCACTTCTCACTGGATGCTTTCCTTCTGCCTTCTGATTGGCTGACCGTAACCTGACCAACCCCCGGAAGCTCCACCCCTGTGCTAACAACAACTCCAGCAGATCAGCTGTGCTCTCAAGATTCAGGTTCAGTCAGCTAAAATGTTGCTCGTGGTTTTCTTGTGTTCCCTGATTGTCTCTCTGCTCGCTGCATCTGAAGGTGAGCTGTGTTTTGTCTTTGAGTGTGTGTGTAGTTTGCAGTGACACACACTAAATACGTGCATACATTTATTAAATGAGGTTAATGAAATGTACTAAAAATATAACGTCATGTTGAGGTTTATGCGCGATATTGTTGATACTTAAAACCTGCAGCTGCGCCACACTGCTGATTTTTTGCTGTTACTATTTTTAGTCCTATCACTGTTAGTAAAAGTGCTATATTCACATTATGTAAAAAAGTCATATTTTTTATCCATTTATATGTAGATCAACTGAAAAGATGAACAGACACAAGATTTCTAGTCTTAAACTGGATTTACACCATCAACCAGATAAAAACAGCCACAGTACAAAATTCAGATTCATTCAGCACCGAAGCCTTCATCACTTTCTGTCTGCATTAGGGTTGGGAGTTGTTTATAGAAATTTCAGTATTGTGACAACACTAACTGCTACCCAGCTGGTCAGCTCATCTCTTGGTCTATCTGTGATTCGGTTGCTTTCCAGACTTTTTGCCTGAACAATGTGAGTGAAATTCAACTGTTTTTTATGTTTGATAAACACAGACGGTTTATAAACTGCAGCTCAGAAAAGATAACCGTGAGCATGCGGAATATGTGCAGTGGATTCACATTAAATATTGAATATTAAAATGTTGATTAGCTTGACAGACTGGGCAATATGGATCTCTAAATAATAAACATCACATACTCAGTCAGGTCATAGTATAAATAGTATTTTCAATGTATTGAAGTAAACATGCGGAGTTTGAATGGGCCTGATGCACCGAATAACATTTACACCTAGAAAGTTTTGTTATCTATGATTTACAGGGGCATAAGTTTGTCAGTAGAGTGGATGCTGGATCATCAGCCAGTACCAGCACAGATCCAGTGCAGACATCTTTAGCAGGTTAGACACACCCAGGTGAAATAAATGCAGCCTCAGCCAGAACGAGCACAGCCAGAGGTCTACAGGCAGCATCTGATACAAGCAGCTCAGACCCTAAATGAACAGTTGCTGCTCCACCAAATGACCCAGCAGATTGGACCCCACTCAAAACAGACTTTATGAAGACTGAGTTACTGGACCTTTCTAGAAGAGGTTTCTATTCAGGCTTATTACAGAGACAGACTGTTTTAAAGGAGGGAGGATTGTAGTGAGAGCACTGTCAGGTGTGACTGTGCTGCAATGGAAAATGAACATCATCTCCGCTGTCACAGCAGATCATGGGATGTTAAAATGAGTTTATGAGAACAAACTTTATGTCCAAACAAATCTTCAACATCTCCTTCCTGTTGAGCTGCTTGAATCTATATAACAACTACTTTTGCTTTCTAACTAATTCTGGATTTGTTTTTAGATCACCAAGAGATAAAAGTGAAGCCTGGACAGGACGTCCCTCTTCAGTGTCGGGCTCTCAGAAATGCCTCTGTCAAACTTTCAGAGTGGACCAGACCTGACCTGAAGTCAGACGGTTACGTGTTCTTTTACCGAAACGAGCGGCCGTATGAAAACTTCCAGCATGAATCTTTTCATGGTCGAGTGGAGCTGAGAGATCCAGAGATGAAGGACGGAGACGCTTCTGTTGTCCTGAAGAACGTCACCTTCAACGACACTGGAACATACGAGTGTCGGATTGTAACTAACGCACGACAAGAGATCAAGCACCTGATCGACCTGAAAGTTACAGACTCAGGTGGGTTAGTAGAGTCCAGACTCCTCAGGTGGGTTAGTAGAGTCCAGACTCCTCAGGTGGGTTAGTAGAGTCCAGACTCCTCAGGTGGGTTAGTAGAGTCCAGACTCCTCAGGTGGGTTAGTAGAGTCCAGACTCCTCAGGTGGGTTAGTAGAGTCCAGACTCCTCAGGTGGGTTAGTAGAGTCCCGACTCCTCAGGTGGGTTAGTAGAGTCCCGACTCCTCAGGTGGGTTAGTAGAGTCCAGACTCCTCAGGTGGGTTAGTAGAGTCCAGACTCCTCAGGTGGGTTAGTAGAGTCCAGACTCCTCAGGTGGGTTAGTAGAGTCCAGACTCCTCGGGTGGGTTAGTAGAGTCCCGACTCCTCAGGTGGGTAGTAGAGTCCCGACTCCTCAGGTGGGTTTGTGCAGTTCAGATTTGCTGATAGGTCAAACCTGTTTTTCTGCTCTGCAGATCACACAGCTGGAGACAAGGAGGGAGGAAACAAGGATGAATTTCGTAGCATCGTAGTTGGACTGTCAGTTTTTGGTATGCTGCTTGTTGTTTGTTGTTGTTAGTATTTGTAGAAAATGTAAGCAGTCATCAGAGCATTGTTCATACAAACCTCCTCCTTATAATGACGTGACCCAGTGAGCTGAAAAGTTAGTAATTATTGAAAAACTCAGCGTTTCCGGTGAGTCTCAAAAACTCAAAATTCAATCAAAATTTTAGGTCTTAAAAAGTCTTAAATTCGCTGAAGTATTGTATTCTAGGTCTTAAAACTGGTCTTAATATTCCACTGTCCATGACCTATATCCTCTAATGCTCATTGACACACTCCCAGCGCTTCAGAATGTTTCTCCCCCCTTGGCGTTGTAGTTCTTTCTATTCGCTAAAATTTCAGACGATAGTTAATGATTTTCAGCACAGTAACACACTCAACATATTGCTAGCTTCCTCTTCTTATTCTTCAAAGGACACAACAGGTGCTGCTACAGTGAATAGTGAGTGGGATATAGGATATAATATAGGATTGGAAAAGCAATTTAATGGTTCTTCTTTAAGTTGTCAGGTAACTGCTCTGTTTGTACACATACTCTACATCTTGATCGTTAGATTAAATTGGTGAGGATAGTAAAGCAAATTAGGGATGCAAACTTGTCCTTATAAGCTAACGAGGAGATGATTCTTTTGGATTTTAATGAACAAATGAAGGCAAACGTGAACAATTTTATCTGTAATGATTCTGAGGTTTAATGTTTAGGTGGTGAGGCTCAAAATGAGCACCAAGCTGTTTTGAGCCTCACCTCCAAAACCATGAATGTAAAATCAATGTCAAGAGCATCAAAACTAACCAAATTACTTTTCCCAGATCTAATACTAATTCCTCCCGAATAGACTTCTTTAGTAAGTTTAGCTTTTGGGGTGGAGTTTATTCAAAATCTGCTCTAGATTTTCCAACTTATTGTTCATTGTTGTGGTAATAACAATGTTCTAAAATTATGTGGGATTGCATATTTCTTTATTGGAAAACCAAAACAAATCTTGGGGCAGTACTCCCAAAACCCCCACCGAAATTTGTTTGCTTACATACATGTTGTATTGGTGTTATATATCCAGCAAGTTTTTCTCTTCAGACCCAATAACACTGTTACCTGACACACACACATCGTGGTTGGCACTACTGGACAGTGTTGTGTAACTCGTCCATTATTTTTAATGCAAATTTCTAACTTCACCATGGTCCAAAGTGCACCAAAAAGTGCTCATAAAGAAATGAAGATATTTTTTGTGCAAAATGCTGGAAAGCCTCAGACATTTCAGTATACTGTGTACCGTAAATAACACATTTATGCCAAATTATTTCTTTGATTAGTATCTGAGCATGATGATTTTAGGGAATACAAACAGCACCTTCAGAGTAGAACGTGTTTTTATCTGCTCTGTAAAGCTCATGGAGCTCATTAATAGCAGAGAGGAAACCTTTGAGTAATGTTGAGTAACCTAACTACAATAATTTGTAGTTATTGTTCACATTGTATATATTGTTTATACTATATCATATCAAACTGCCTCATGTACATAATAACAGCTGCACAAACATGTTTATTTCAGCATCTGTTGCACTCTGCTCCATTACTACATTACTCATCTACATTACACTATTGTCTTGTTATTGTTTATGGTGTGTATGTGCGTTCTATACGGTGTAGTTTGAATGTGTTTTTTGTTGAGCTAATCTTTGTTTCTGCTTGTTCAGTGTTTGTACATTGAGAGCATGTACCTGATCATTAAAGCTGATTCTCATTCGGAAATATTCTCAGGCTCAAAGCTTTATTATCAAGGTAAAACAAATGACATTCATCAGTATCTGTTAAATTCACCTACAGAGATGGTTTGAACCCACGAACACTGTGTCAAAGCCCTGATCATCAAAGTAAACACTTAACAAATTGGGCATTAACACATTAGCTGACGTGCATTTACTGATTGTCAGCTTTGTTGCATTACATCGTCTTCACCAGCAGATGGTGGTGTGTTTTTTCTGAGTACTGAACTATTTTCATCACAGTTGTGTGTACATAACATTGCATTTATTCATTTGACAGACGCTTTATCCAAAGAGGAAAAAGGTTGTATTGTTTAATAAAAAATGCTCTTTTCTGATAGATATAACAACATATTTATAGCAATATTTGGCCGTAAACAGTACGCGATAAAGAAATATGGCCTCTTCTTAGAAAAACAAGTTCAGTTCAAGGTCAGCAGTTATAACAATAATCTTTGGATATCTACACAGTCAGAGGAACTTCTCTTATAACAGTCACACTTTTTCTGGTAGTTTCAGGAACCCGAGCTCCTCAAGATAAAGACAGGTTGCCCAGCAGCTGCTGTAGGACTCAATGAGAGTTACAAGACATGAAATATGGTTTAAAACAAACAGTGAGTCTGATACATTGTAAGAATAGTCGTTTCTGGTCTTCCAGCAGGACCTAACATGCCACCAAAGCTGTGAGTACAAGGCTCACAGACAACAGCATAAGAGTCTTGGAGTGGCTGACTTCTATCAGAAGGAATGGGCTAAAATATCAACAAAGAACCTTGAGGAAGGAGAAAAACCTCTGACCCACCAGAAATCTGTTCTTCTAGGCCTTCACGGACCCGTCTTTGGCGTGATCATTGACATACAGACACGTGCAGAGGGGGGTGCAATGGGTGCTTGAGCACCTGCCCTTTTTTCAAACGCAATCCTTAATTTTATTTATTTTAAAATTTGTAAAGGTCCTTTTGTGAAGGCCTGCCCGATCAAAATATCAGTAAAATGAATTAATAATAATTTTGCAGTTAATAAAATGACCCAATTGATGACCTTTCACCTGATGACCTAATCCGTGACGAGCCCTCCCGTTCAGATACCGTGGCCCAATCCCAATGTCCACCTCTCCTTAGAGTTTAGGACTCTCTCGTGGACGTTTTGTGCCATTTTTAGACCCTTTTCGTAAGTCTGCATTTTTGGAGGACTTAAAAATAAGGCAAAAACATAAAATAAAAGTGCACAACGTCGTCAAGGTAACGTGATAAAGTGGCAAAGTTCTGTCCCGTTCCTGTTTACAGCATTTTGAGCCCTTACAGCCTCTTTGACTCAATCACTTTCCAAGTGATGTCAGTAAAGTCTGTGAGGGTTCAGGGCTCAGGGGGGACACTGGGATTGGGCCCGTTAGTGATTCAGCAGCTCTGCCTACAGGACACCTGCGATTCCGCCGGTAAGAGGAGTTTGCCGCTTCTTGTGGATTGTTGCAAAGAGAGCAGCACAGCTGTTGTGTATATTGCTGTGTGTCGCCCGCCTGTAGAAGTGATATCAGCTTCCGGCCGACAGCTAACGTTACTTCTACGCTACAAACAAAGGTGCTCTGTTCACTTCTGTCTGTTTGGGGGAGAAAAGTTTCACGGGCGTCGAGAGGTCTGATCTTTTCTATGTAATCTGACTAAAAATCTTTGCACTTGAACTAGGATTATTAAAGTATCTTAATAAAAGCCTTGTGCCTTAAAATGTGTAACAACACTGGTAAAATTCTAAGCCTATTCCTCCGACTTATAGCCTCCTTCAGCCCTTTAAAAACTATATCATTAAATTCAGAACAGTATTGAATATATTACATTTTGACAGCAACAGGATTTACAGCAGCTCATCAAAACTCAATAACTGATGATTAGACATATAGTCAATAAAAATCCAAATATATCTCAGATTCACAATACAATATATAAAATCATTATCACAATATTGCATACTGTAGACACACAAGCAAGCAACACAGACGCACACAAACCTCTGTCTATAGATTTGTTTTTCACTCTTACCTCTGCCATGGCCGCCCTCATCCTTTCCCCATTAATGTTCCTTCTCAGATTATTTCCCACACTTTATTAAATCTGGTATCTTTTCTCCTCTACCTGCAGCTCTTGGTGTGCAGCTCTGTGAGCGTCTCTCTAGCTGTCAGCCTTGGTAGTGGCTGCAGTATGACAGCAGGTCAGTCACTGTGAGCTGGTCCCAAACACATGTAAGAATGAATACATAACGATATATTTCTATGTCAATAGTATGAGAAGAGTCCTATTTAAATCCTTGGTCCATGTGCCCTTTTCATACTTTGAGCGCCTGCCCTTCCAAAGGTCTCTGCACGGCCCTGTTGATGTATATCTGTTACAAATAAAGATTTTGCTAAAAAAAAAAGCTAGAGTAGCTCACTGATTGGCTGAGGCAGGAGGTACCTGATCTGCGTGGTCGCCACAAGTAGTCTTTCATACAGCGATGTGGAGAGCAAGCTGAGCCGAAGGAGCACAAGTGGAGCAAAATGAACAGGTGGAGCAGTGTTTCTTTTATAGCACGAGGTTTCCACCCTGGCCGGATCGGTACTGGATCTGCTCAGTTTCTAAGTCTGATGTAATGACGCACAGAAAGGTCTGGACGTCGCGCTCGAAAACTCCGCTAAGAAGCATTTTTTTCTCCAGAAAGCACGAGTTTCTACCTGAAGGGAAGATGTGTGTGTGAGTATAGGCTTTTCTCTTTTAGACCGCAGATACTAGTTTGAAAGGGAAGCAAAAGCTTTAAGAGTTTAAAGCTGTTATTTGTGTAAACACTACGACCAATAGGCCTGCGGAGAAAACCATTCACATTTAACGTGACTTATAAATGTTGTTCGGTGCCTGGATGACTTCGTCACTTCTCACTGGATGCTTTTGTCCTGCCTTCTGATTGGCTGATCCTAACGCTACCCTCAAGCAATCTAACCAACGAAGGCAACGAGAGTAGCCAATCAGAGCAAGAGAAAAATGATAAAGAACGCTTTAGGCGATAGGCCCACTAGTTGAAGCTCCACCCCTGTGCTAACAACAACTCCAGCAGATCAGCTGTGCTCTCAAGATTCAGATTCAGTCAGCTAAAATGTTGCTCGTGGTTTTCTTGTGTTCCCTGATTGTCTCTCTGCTCGCTGCATCTGAAGGTGAGCTGTGTTTGTCTTTGAGTGTGTGTGTAGTTTGCAGTGACACACACTAAATACGTGCATACATTTATTAAATGAGGTTAATGAAATGTACTAACAAATATAACGTCATGTTGAGGTTTATGCGCGATATTGTTGATACTTAAAACCTGCAGCTGCGCCACACTGCTGATTGTTTTGCTGTTACTATTTTTATTCCTATCACTGTTAGTAAAAGTGCTATATTCACATTATGTAAAAAAGTCATATTTTTATCCATTTATATGTAGATCAACTGAAAAGATGAACAGACACAAGATTTCTAGTCTTAAACTGGATTTACACCATCAACCAGATAAAAACAGCCACAGTACAAAATTCAGTTTCATTTCATTTACATCACTTTCACCTGCACTGCAGAACCATTAAGTTGAGGGTTTTCCAGGGAAATCTAGCTGGGAAAACCAGTTTCATTAATCCCCTACCCTGATTACAGAAACAAGTTTCTCTATTTCATGACATTTAAGAAATCAGGTCACTGTGGGAAGCCCAGTTACTGGAGTTCATCTGAGTGAGCGATGCGGGTCGCAGTCAGGGTTTTCATACCAAACAGAGGCCGTCCAGTGAGATTTTGTCATGGACCTGGTGTCAGGGGAGGAAAAATATAACATGTATTTACAGTTGACAATGTCGTAAACAATGTTTTCCCTCCACCACAGCCTTTTTCCTAATAACATTCTGTTTAAAAAACAGGTTCAACCTGCTCTCTGAGTCGACTCTAAAACAGAGATGATCTGCAGCTAAAACAGTCAGGGAATTTAGATCAGTGTGCAGTCTTTATTCAACTTTTGGTATTTAGATTTGTCTTATGCTTGAATATGATAAAACATTATTCACTTCTCTGCCTTGGTCACAGTCCTGAGTCTGTCATCTTGCAGAGGAGGTGGAACCAGCATCTCCTTCAGATTCATTCAGCACCGAAGCCTTCATCACTTTTCTGTCTGCATTAGGGTTGGGAGTTGTTTTATCGATTCTGATTGTAATTATAGTGACACTTTTATGGACTGCGTTTTGTCAATACCTTGAATACGTACGACGACGAAGAAGAAGAAACGTTAGCAGTAATAGTATTAGGCTAGTAGTCATCTGGTTTATTAGAAGTAAGAAGAGAATTGAAACTTAGAAAAATGGAGGACCACGTATCATTTAGAGTTTACAGAACTTTTTTACAAACATGTACAATGGTTATAGTGGTTAGTTTGCTGTCTATGTAGAGTGAACTAGCTGTCAGCGTGTTGTTAAAATTCTCTGATAATGTTAATCCAACACATCTTTGTAGTAGCGTCCATGTTGATTCCACATTTCAAAGAGCACATGAACACACACTGAAGTCAGAAGAACGACTTCACAACTCCATAAATGGGACCATCTGAGGAGCACATGAATGCAACCCTCACCACTAGATGTCACTAAAAGTTACACACTGAACCTTTAATCAATCCACTTTTCCAACTTGGTTCGGTCTGACACGGTCGACCACAACATATTACTAGACAGACTTGAAAACTGTGTTGGACTTTCTGGCACAGTACTAAAATGGTTTGAATCCTACTTAAAGGACAGGGACTACTTTGTGTCTATAGGTAATCATACATCTGAGCTGACAAAAATGACATGTGGAGTTCCCCAAGGCTCCATTCTGGGACCTCTTTTGTTTAACATTTACCTGCTTCCACTGGCTCAGATTGTGAAAAACAACAAAATATGTTACAATAATTATGCAGATGACACAGATTTACATAATGATATAACCAGGGGACTATGATCCCATATGGGCGCTGAGTAACTGTATTGAGCAGGTCAACGATTGGATGTGCCAGAATTTAAACAAAGATAAAACTGAAGTTATTGTTTTTGGAGCCAGGGAGGAACGACTTCAATCTGTAATGTTAAGAACCACAAATCAAGCCAGAAATCTTGGTGTAGTCATGGACTCAGACCTGAATCTGAGGAGCCACATTAAGACAATTACAAAGTCAGCCTACGATCACCTGAAGAATATATCAAGGATTAAAGGACTATTGTATTAGTAACTACTGTAACAGTGTCCTTACAGGCTCCCTAAGAAATCCGTCCGACAGCTGCAGCTGATTCAGAACGCAGCTGCTCGAGTCCTCACTAAGACCAAAAAGGTGGATCACATCACTCCAGTTCTGAGGTCTTTACATTGGCTTCCTGTTTGTCAAAGAATTGATTTCAAAATCCTGCTGTTAGTTTATAAAGCACTAAATGGTTTAGGGCCAAAATACATTTCTGATCTTCTGCTTCATTACGAACCATCCAGACCTCTCAGGTTGTCTGGGATCAGGTCTGCTTTCTGTCCCCAGAGTCAAAACTAAACAAGGAGAAGCAGCTTTCAGTTATTATGCTCCGTATATCTGGAACAAACTCCCAGATAACTGCAGGTCTGCTGAAACTGTCAGTTCTTTTAAATTAAGACTGAAGACTTTTCTTTTACCACTGCCTTTAATTAAATCCATAGATTGGTAACTTTCACTGCACTGTAACGTCCTGTTTTCTCTGTCTTTGTTTTTAGATTCTCAGTGAACACTATTTACACGGTGAGAAATGAGTAGGTAATTGAGTGAAAAGATAATGAGAGTGTGATTGAACAGAGTGAAGGAAGTGGTCTTAAATCTCGCGCCTGAGTGATTTGCAGGAACCTCTGTCCACCTGTAAACGCACAGGTGGGTCCAGAGTATAACTGGATCAAAGTGGCCTGCTGACAGACATGTCCTGGTTTCTCTGTAGTGTCCGAGGGTTTTTGGAGTTTCAGTGGACTCAAAGATTGCTATGGACCCGAGTACAGACTAGCTAGAGAGAGTAGATTAAGTGTACTTCTCTGTTTATTCTCTTTTCAAAATAATTGTAACTCAGTTATTTGCTCAACCCCTCAGCCTGTTTTTATTTCCCATTTAACTCTTTTAACCCTGATTGTACACTGCACTGTAACTTATTATTTTTAATGTGTATTTTTTCAATTTTCCTATGTTGCTTTTAAACTTTTTTATATTTCCCTGTTGCTTTTATGTTTTATGTAAAGCACTTTGAATTACCTTGTTGTTGAAATGTGCTAATCAAATAAACTTGCCTTGATGAGACACGGATTAATGCACAGGTGACCCTAGGCTGCAGACTAGGGGCCCCACGTGTGCAAGGATCCTGGATTAGCCAGGATATTTTTATTAATTTAATTTTAATTAATTTTTTAGAAATTGCTCATATAAAACTTTGAATAATGAGGCTGATTGGGTAGATGTGGGCCACAGCAAGTTTGATCCATTTTGAAAGCGCATCAATGGCAGTGCTGGCAGGGGAACACCATCATAACACTCATCAACAACATGTTTAAAGTTTAGTGAACTGATGGGAGAGCAGGACCTCACAGACTTAATGAATTAGATAAAAAAGTCAAAGTACTTTTCGATCAGTGTCGATTTCACTCCAGATGTTACACACACGGACCAGCTAACATTCATAATTCAATGTGTCACCCGACGGCAATGGCTAAAGACATACTAACGCATTTCATACACTTTCAAAATGGTACATGAGGGATGGGGGGATGGGTGGTGCCCCACTCCAGGTTTATGTCTAGCAACGGCTCTGTACAAAACCCTGGTCTACATCAGTTAGTTTGATAGTTTGGTGGATTTGATACAAGACTCTGTTTTTGTTTGATCTGAAGTTCATGTTTTCACAAGTTAGTCAGTGTGAATCATGTGAAAAGCTGTTTGTGTGTCTCATGTGATGAACATCATCTCCGCTGTCACAGCAGATCATGGGATGTTAAAATGAGTTTATGTGAACAAACTTTACGTCCAAACAAATCTTCAGCATCTCCTTCCTGTTGAGCTGCTTGAATCTTTTTAAACTACTTTTGCTTTCTAACTAATTCAGGATTTTCTTTTCTGTGTTTGTTTTTAGATCAGCAAGAGATAAAAGTGAATCCTGGACAGGACGTCTCTCTTCTGTGTCAGGGTCTCAGAGATGCCTCCGTCACACTGTTAGAGTGGACCAGACCTGACCTGAAGTCAGACGGTTACGTGTTCTTTTACCGAAACGAGCGGCCGTATGAAAACTACCAGCATGAATCTTTTCAAGGTCGAGTGGAGCTGAGAGATCCAGAGCTGAAGGACGGAGACGCTTCTGTTGTCCTGAAGAACGTCAACATGAACGACACTGGAACATACGAGTGTCGGATTGTAACTAACGCACGACAAGAGATCAAGCACCTGATCGACCTGAAGGTTACAGACTCAGGTGGGTTAGTAGAGTCCCGACTCCTCGGGTGGGTTAGTAGAGTCCCGACTCCTCGGGTGGGTTAGTAGAGTCCCGACTCCTCGGGTGGGTTAGTAGAGTCCCGACTCCTCGGGTGGGTTAGTAGAGTCCCGACTCCTCGGGAGGGTTTGTGCAGCAGTTCAGATTTGCTAATAGCTCAAACCTGTTTTCTGCTCTGCAGATCACACAGCTGGAGACAAGGAGGGAGGAGACAAGGAGGGAGGAGACAGCATCGTGGTTGGACTAGCAGTTACTATGGCGCTTCTTCTTCTTCTTCTTCTTCTTGCTGTATGTGTCTGTAGAAAACGTAAGCACTCATCAGAAAAGAAGAACTGTACAGTTACTAATTAGTGGAAATGCATTTAGCAACTTATCAAAAGGACAAAATGTAACATCTCCTTTAGTTAAAGTGTCGTCTGCAGCAGCCAAATCATCTTGCTCAGATTCTAATGAAAAAAATCATAGATCGCATAACTGTGTTCTCTGCTGTACACAGTGCACTGAAATGTCTGAGGCTTCCACGTTAAGGTCAAACCAAACATCCTTCTTTAAATGGCCAATATGCATATTTTTAACAAATAATGTATGAAGTGACAACGTATTGGCATCAAAGGACAGTAATAGTTTCGACAGAATCAGCAACACAATATTAAACAGCATCGTTTGCATAGATATGAATTTTAGTTTATTTACAAGCACTTTTTGGTCAAACCCGAACATAAACTTCAGGAGCTACAGCAGGTTAGCAGGCTAATTCACTGTGTACATTATAAACCGTTTATTAAGCACTTTATTCTCATTAATCCCATCGTTGCCTTTTACTCACTGCAGCAAAATACAATAAAATAATGAATAATCCATAAATTGTAACAATTCTCCAAATCCACGGTTCTGTTCATACTTTGTTTTTTCCCCACATTTGTTTTCGGGGGGTGAATAACAAATGGGGAAAAATTCTATTATTATTATTATTGGATCTTGGATTAAATAAACTAGTCTAATTTGCAGGCATGATCACGGGACTGGATCAAAATATAGTCACGTGACCCAATTAAAATAGGTGCACATGTGCTAGAATTATAAGCCTACATCTCGGCCTAACTTTAAACACAATGTTTGTTGCAGAGAAACACAGAGAGAGATGTTATGTGTTATTTTACAAGACGCTGACACGGTAGCGAACTCACCGGTTCAGATGTCATTTGGTAACAAGTTGGTTTCGATTCATGTGATGCGCATATGAGCCATGAAAACAGAATTACGGGTGAGTTTATTAAACCCGGAAACTTTATGAAACATACTGTTGATGGAGAAGGGACAGGGAGACTGGGGAAGGTGAGGCAAGCCTGTGCTTGCAGTGAGAGACCAGAGGTGTGTGAGTGTGTGGGAAAGAGAACTAAAGGGAAAGTAGTAAGTAAACACTAGAATAAGGTGGAGGATGAAGTCCAAGTAAAATGGTGAAATGAGAAATAAGCTAGTAGAAATAGAAAAATACACACTAACAACCGCTGTCGCCACTTTACACTGACATTGTCATAATGAGCGCTCACCAGTCTGGGGAGCAGCATGTCGCAGTTCCTCGAAACCACGACACGGGACTGTGAACACTCGCGGTTTTGGTCTCATTTTCAGAACTGTTACAGCCCTAATTTAATATATAGATCAGCATCAAAGTAAACATAAACCTATATGTTATTGCATAATTGATTGTATTTGACTTTTCCATCTCTGAGACAGAAATGAAACTGATGAGTAATGTTGATTATAGAGTGATTGTGATGTTTCCTATCTTTAGGTTTGTCACTCAGATTTCTTTCTGTGTGTTCAGATTTCATTTTCTGCATTTTCAGTTTCTTACCTTATATATTGTACAGCACTTTACTTCACCTGTATAAGCTTTGTTTTATTAATAAATGGTTTTGTATACTATAAATATTTTTCTTTTTGAATGAAGTCGTTATTAATGTAGAGGAGAAACCTTGTTTTGATGCTATTTATGATCAGCATGTTTCTGCTGTGTGCCTGTCTGTGATTGGATTTGATAGACATCTTGTTTCCTGTTGAATCTCCTGCAGACTTTGCAGTCTTTTAAACAGGGAACAAACAACCATCTTTGAATAGAGATGGATTACCATGGTTAGCAACGCCCCTCAAATGCAATTAACTGCCGTAAAAGAGGAAATCACATCATTTCCTCTCAAAGTAAACTAAATATTCTTCAGCCGACAAACCCGTCAGCAACATGCAGCTGGGAGTGCCACAGAGTCTCAAACACTCACCAGCCACTTTATTAGGTACATCAGTTCAGTTGCTTGTTAACACAAATAGCTAATCAGCCAATCACATGGCAGCTACAGTTCACACAGGCTCAACAAAACTGGACAACAGAAGATTGGAAAAATGTTTCCTGGTCTGATGAGTCTCGATTTCAGCTGCGACATTCAGATGATCAGAATTTGGCGTAAACAACATGAAAGCATGGATCCATCCTGCCTTTTATCAACGGTTCAGGCTGCTGGTGGTGAAATGGTGTGATGAGTTCACGGTGCTCCAGTGGCCTCCACAGTCACCAGATCTCAGTCCAACAGAGCACCTTTGGGATGTGGAGGAACGGGAGATTCACATCATCGGTGTGCAGCTGACAAATCTGCGTGATGCTGTCATAGCAATATGGCCCAAAGTCTCTGAGGAATGTTTCCAACACCTTGTTGAAAGTGTGCCACGAAGAATTAACGCAGTTCTAAAGGCAAAAGGGGGTCCGGCCCGGTCCTAGCAAGATGTGTACCTAATAAAGTGGCTGGTGTATAGTCTACCTGTAAAACAGTGAGCCGTGCCCTTTGATGTGACACCAGCACAATGTTATGGAGACCAGTGTTTAAAGGGGATGAAAGCAGTGGATGTGATTGGCCACAGCGTCTAACACGCCCTCCTCTAATGTTTAATATTGGTTTCTAGTCTGATCCCATCTGAGATCTACAGTCCCTTGATATCAGATGACTCAGCAGCCATGAGTGCAGCGCGTGGACACAGTGTGAACGTCAACAAAAAATACGCTGATCCCTCAGGCACACATGAGTCAGCGTTTAGCCTCTGTCCTAAAATATAAGAAAGCCTAATCAGAAGCACAACAAGCTGAACTTCAGGAGCCAGCAGGGGAAACTGCAGGAACAAGAAAAAACATGGGCAGGTCAGATTCCAGATGAGACCTTGAGGAAGGTGACAGAGTTCATTGTGAAGAGTCTCTGTGGGTTTTGAGTTGCCGGATGCGACTGCAGGATGTTTTGAGAGAAACATCTGAGTCTTTCACTTTCACTTAGGAGAAGAGACACAAAGTCAGTTCAACAGAAACAACCGGTCAAAGTCCTTCATGTGATACAGATAATAATGATAATACAATTCTTTAACAGCAACAAAAAACACACAAACAGGAAATAAAGCTGACAAACAGCTTAAAACCAGGTTTTTATTTACATTCAGTGCTGTGAATGAACACAGAAATCCGCCGAATTAAAGCTGAAATAAATGTATTTAATGGCAAATTAAATAAAGTAGATACCCACTGACTTAACATAAGAAATGTGTGGTAACATGAAATATGTGGAGTTGTGGAAGATTTAATGTTTTTGCCGACACTGCAGCTCTGTGCAGGAAGTCCATGAAGATGCTGATGTGCTGCCACCTGCTGGCTGCTTCTTGTCACTGCAGACACTCGACAGTCTTCAGGAGGAGTCACGAGACATTTCAACAATGTAAAGTTTTCATAATTAAAGTAAAGCTGTTAATATGTGTGTGTTCAAACCTTTATTTATACAGAGAATCAGACCAGGGTCTCTTTTACAGCTGAGCCCTGTGTACAGCTAACAAACACATACAGATATTATTCAAACGCTATAAATATCTATAATACTATAAAATAAACAATTATACGTATAAATTACATTCCTCAGTAAAATGTTCATTCCACGCTGCTTTGAATTATCCTGTAGAAACCAAAACATCTCGCCGAAACTTTTCACGTAATTTGTTCCAAGGATGCACAGCATTATATTCACAGGCAGGTTTTCTCAATGAACCTGAGAAACCTTTGGAACGACAGTCATGTAAGGAAAAGTGTTATTTTAACTAAATCAACGATTTTTACATATTCATTGTTACTAATGTGGCATGAGGAGGGTGTGATTCTATATTTCAATAAATAATAATAATTTAAATAAGTTGCCAACAACGCCACCTGGGGAATTTCACCCCAGGAAATAGTATTAAGAGATACAGGTTCACCTGAAATAAGGCCGGGGCAGAGAGTGTTTCAAATTTAAACAAATAATTTTATTAACAAAATACTAATTAGAGACAACCAAACCAAAAGTAATTTAACAAAAAATGTGTATGTATACCAATTAAGAAGGCATGCCATTATTGAATAAAATAGAAATATGGGCCAAATAATTTAAAATACAATATACTATTTAAAATACACAGTGGCAAAAAGAATAAATCAAAACGTGCAAATCAATTAATTCAAACCAACCAAGATGAAAACAGAAAATTGAATATAACACACATCCAAAACAAAATGCCAACTGTATAAACTAATTTCAGTCTGCATTCACATTTGGTTGAAACAGCAGCTGATATTTCCTTCGCGAGAGCAGCTAGCTCGCACATTCGGGCAGTTCGGAGGCCGTTTTACTTTGAAATGTGGAAATGACGTCATCAGCAAGGCATCATCACGTGGTCTCTGAAAACAGCAGAATGACACGAGTCGATTTTCTTTTAAGTTTGTTTCAAAACTCCGTGTGTGAAGAACTGAGATTCAGCAGAAATGCTTTCCATTCTGGTTAAACATTCAGATTTCGAAAAATTAACCGTGCTAGACAAACAACTAACTATCAGCCAACTGGCTGTTGACACGACTATATTTATGAAAGACAGTGACCAAATTTCATACAGTTAAATTCTTCTCAAAAGCATCTGGCTTCAAATTAAACCTTGTGAGGTTTTTCCCGATTCACAATTCCACCCTTACATCAGTTCATAATATCCCTGTAAAATCAGCTGTTGGATACCGAGGGATACACATTACTAAGGATAAGAACTCGCTTGATAATCTTAATATTTGGAATAATCTGGATAAATGCAAATCTTGTTTAAACTCCCGGTCTCAAAGAGATATTTCTATTATAGGCAGAATTTTTCTCACAAAAATGGAGTGCATTTCTCGACTCATCTACCCAGCCTACAGACATAGACCAAGATATTTTAATTATATCTGGAAAAAGAAAACCCACTATATTAAGAAAGAATACGAAGAAGGTGGACGTAAGGCTATTGATATTGAGAGCATTAACAGTACTATTAAAACAAACTGGTTAAGGTTTTTTAACGCACGAAAAACAATTTTGGTCTCATATTCCCAGTAAATTTTTTATGAAGGTAGGAGGCATTGATTTCCTTCTTCGATGTGACTTTGATCTAAAAAAGCTCCCTGTCAATTTATCCTCGTTTCATCAACAAGTTTTACTGTATTGGAGAATGATATACAAACGTAATTTTACTCCTCACAACACCCCTATATGGAATTGCAGGTATGTGTTACTGAATAAATCCATATTTTTCCCACTTTGGCTAGAAAAAGGAATATGGTCTGTGATGGACTTATTGGACAGTAAAGGTAACTTTCTGTCATTTGAGGACTTTGGTTCCGAATTTAAGCTCTTCGACAGAGGTCACTATGCCAAGGTTGTCAAGGCAATTCCTCTAGCTGTAATCGCTTTTGGTGAATGATCACAATTTCATAAATATAAAATTACCAAACTTCATTATCAGGCAAACATTTGTTAGAGAATTATATCCACTTTCTTTCCACAGAAATTCCATTTTTATAATTTTCTCTAAAAAGAGGCTGATTTTGTTTAAATTTCCTATTGCACCAAAAGCGAAGGAGGTTCATTTTAAGGTTCTGAATGAAATATACCCCTCAGCTGAATTTTGAGAAGTCGTTTTGGTTTGGATCACAATAACTGCACAATCTGACTAGCATTTATTTTATGAATGTATTTTTGCTAATGCTTTCTGGGAAGATGTGCATTATTGGTTGTTCCCCAAAGTTTAAAATTTTTCTAGTCTAACAAAGGAAAATGGTATATTTGGTACAATTTTGAAAGACCCCTTACATGACCTGGCTATCAATTCAAATATCATTCTTGGAAGGTTTTTTTAATACATAAAAACAAATTCACGAAATCGATTCCTAATTTCTACATTTTTCATAAAGAGCTGTGTCTTAACTTTCATCTCTTAAACATATTAAAACGAACGCTATTAAGCTCTCTAAATTAGTTGATGACCTTAACCTTACAGAAAATCCCTAGCTTTACTCCAAAACTTTGTTACTTTACTCCTTATTATCCCCCTCTATTTAATTTATTTTATTTACTTTTTGGGTTGTTTGTTTTTTAATTTATTTTTAGTGGACATCACCTTCCGATCTTGTCCTTCCCTTGTTAATTATACACTGGTTTGTACTATGACACTTTGTATGTAAATTTTGTCAATAAAGAAAAAAAAAACACCTTTACAAGTCATGGTTGTAATCTGCCATAAAACAAAAAGAAGAAGAACAACAAGTCATTCAATGTGGAGAGCACGAGGAGAAGTGATACACGCAGGGTTTCCCACCTTGTCTGGATCTGTTCTGGATCTGTTCTGCGTCTGTTCTCTGCAGTGACGGATACCGATAAGAAGCAGTTTCTTCCCCAGAGACCAGCAGTTTCTACCTGAGTGGACGATGAGTGGGTGAGTAACTCAGTTTATTGACCGGCCAGGACACAAATACAACATTTATCCTCTTATAGACCGCAGATAGATCATTCCGCCTGCACGCGCTTCCCTTCCTACCCACGCGCCTCTCACTGAAGATGAATTACGAGGTGCGT